TAGCATTCACTTCATTGTCCATTTGTTCAAGGAACTGATCACTGAACTGTGTTTTAGACAACTTAGGCAAAGTCTCAATGTTTCTTTCATCTCTCATACCTTCTTTGATTTTATCATCTCCCTCATTACTGACTGTGGTGTCAACATGACCAAGATCAGTGTCATCATGTTTGGAAGTAGCATCCTTTCCCACATCTTCATGGTCAGTGCCATCTTGTTCCAAAATAGTATCCTTCCCCATGTTTTTATTTTCCATGTCTTCACTCTCAACATTTTCATATTCATTGACAATTTAATCATCTATCTTTTTAAAACCCATCTCATCTGTATCATCTCCCTTTTGTCTTTCTAACTACTCAAGGATCATCCTTCAGCACTTTCCCTTGGCTTTCCTGCATTTTTTTCATGTCATTGAGAATTGTTATAATCTTACTCTGACTCTCCCTCTTCCTCTTAAATTTTCTTTTTGGAAGAAATTCCCCTTTCATGCAGTGACTAATTCTCTTTCTCTTCTCTTTTGGCTTGTTTTGGGCATTTCTAGTTATTGAAAGTTCCTTTTCTTAGCACTATCAACACTCAAATTTCTTGCTAGAGTTGCACCCTTTTTCTGAGCTCTCAATATGTTGCACAGTATCATCTATCCCCCTTCCTATGTATTCACTAACAGATAATGCCAATGAAGGATCATTTAATTCCCTCTCACTTGGAACAATCTTTGACACTTCAAACTGTGTAAAATAATAATAAAAAATATTAATATAATCCAGATTTACTACATTGTAACACCCTAATCCGTCCAGGTCTGCAGCCCCTTTTGGACTAAAATATTAACTTGGTAATCGTAAAAATTTAAAACTTTTCAAACACTTTTATTTATCACAATAATATTTTTTCATAACATATATAGTACAGAGTATTCAACAATATTGCAGAAGCGAGTTGAATATTGACATATCATAATTCATTTCAAAACTTGTCACATCCATCCCGACAATCTCGCCCCATCTGCTGCCAGGATCACATTGTTCTTTCTGTTTACTTGCGTGTAGCAAATAAAAGACACTACACGCTCAGCGGTAAAGCTGAGTAAGCATATCTAATGTGTCGAACATCCACATAAACTGAATCTAAATTTATAATCAAATCATTTGATATCATGTATACGGTGTTCATTTCAGAAATTCACAGTTTTGATATTGTTCAGCTCATATCAACTCATTTTGTTCAATTCAGATATTATCTCGACAGTGCTCTTAAATTGTTCTTAATCTAAGACCAAATAATAACAATGCTCTTAGCTATTCTTAGTCTAAGGCTAGATCATAACAATGCTCTTAGCTATTCTTAGTTTAAGGCCAGATTATAATTTTGATAACCAGACTCTTAAACTATGGCTAGTTTAAGGCCATTAACCAGACTCTTAAAAAGGCAATTAATAATCAGACACTTAAACTATCATTAGTTTAAGGCAATTGATTTCGGACTCTTAACTGTAGTCAGTTAAGGCAACAACAATGTAGCGATTGATCAACGTTGGATCGGGGCATTCCCAAATGAGTGATCCTCTAGTTTGGTATACAAATTCTGTTATTACATTTTTATCCAATCACTGAATATTCATGTTTCACAAATCCATACTAATATGAGATCTATTCTAGAGGTCTTCCAGATAGTCTTAACATCAATTAACTAAATGGGTATGTCTTAAAGTTCTTCTAGATATCCTTAACAATACAAATCGTTCATAATTAACAGTATATTCATTTTACTCATGGTTTAATCATCCATAATAATTTTATTCAGTAAGTTTATCATTCATAAACATCCATAACAATTATTTATCATAATCATCAATCAACATACCAATCGATAGCAATTAGCGGCCTAGCCTCGAGTGTTAACACCCGAACTTACCGTCATGTATCACATAACATTTTTATTTGTTAAAAACATCATTTTATTGTGAAAAATCATATTTATAATGATCATAATCAGTTGGTATCAAAAATAGGATTTTAGAGCTCAAAAATAGCATTTTCGGAAGTATTTTCGGAGCAGACAGGTCGGGGGATCGATCCAGCACTTTGGATCGATCCTCCGTATAGAACATACTCATTTGGATCGATCCAGGAGGTATGATCGATCCTCCCTGGGTGTTTTCAGCTACTGTTCATCATCTTGTTCGTTACGGGTCCAATTTCGGAAATACCATTTTTAGTCACCGAAATTCAACGAAACTATATAGAGATGTTCTCCAAGGTTCATAGATCATTTTGGCATCAATAATTCATAATCTTAACATCAATTTCATGGTTTATGATTCTTGGTTCTTCAAGCATGTCAAACACAAACTCAACCAAACAAGCTTTTATGAATGTAGAAACGATCTATACGAACATTCTAGTCATTAGATATATCTACGGGCTTAGCTCGAAGCATAACGAAGGTTTTGGAAATTTTCCGGCGAAACTTCCGGCGAGGTTTGTGGTTAGCTCCGGCGACCTCTCACCAAATTGATAGCACTGTTAGAATGAGTGACCAACGCTAGAGGGGGGGTGAATAGCGTTTGATCGTAGAAATCGCAGGAATAAAATATTAAGAACGTGAAAAGTAAAGAGCATAGAAAAAGTAAAGGGAGCACACCAAGATTTATACTAGTTCACCACAACGTGTGGCTAATCCAGTCTCCCGAGGGACTCTCTCAAGCTACACTACTTCCGTTAAGCTTACGGGTGCTTAACAAACCGTTACAACATGAGAACTCGAGTCCCACGAGCCTCAACAACACTTGCTCGGAGATACCACACTCCAAGACTTCAACCCAAAGGAAAAACACCTTTCCTTCGTACAACCAAGGGAAACAAACTTCCCTTAACGTCTATAAACACTAAGAACACTCAAGAACAAGGCTCTCCTAAAGGAGTGAATATGAGTAAAGTAATACGCTCAAGATCACAACACGAACTTCACAAAAATGGCTCTCGAAAAGCTATGAATAATGTATGAATGTTATGCAATGAAAGAATAGGAGTTGTGAAGTAATGTGTTATGTAAAGCAGACCCAAACACCCCATTTATAGTTGAAAAATAGGCTCCAACGGATCAAAACATTTAAGGGGTGATTGGCACAATTTGTGGGATTTGATTAAATCTGGATCTATTGAAATTCACCCAGACAGCGCTGTCCTAGGCTTGGACATCACTGTTCTAGGCTTGGGTTTTGAAAAATGGGAAGCAACGGTCATGCCAACAGCGATGTCCAATACCCCTACATCGCTGTTTTGGCTGTTGACTTCAAAACAAGGACAATTTTAGCCTTAAATTCCTTCCAACGGTCAGGTCCCTACATCGATGTTCATTACTTGAACATCGCTGTTTAGGTCTGACTTTGAAGGTGGAAAGTTTGGCCTGACAGCGCTGTTGCTGGGTCAACATCGCTGTCCAAAAACTTTCTGCCAATGTATTTGGTTTTGGCTTAGGTTGGACAGCGATGTAGGGTAGTCTACATCGCTGTTCCACATGTTTCTGGAAACCCAGCCTTGGCTCAACAGCGATGTCTAACATCCAACATCGTTGTTGGAGGACTTAACGCCAAACCATGGCTTTTAGCTTCCCATGCCGGAGAGCGTTGTTGGTTACTCCAACATCGCTGTTGGGCTGGTTTAGCCAGACCCATGGTTGGTTTAGTCACGCCGTTAGCCGATGTCAAAAATGTAAGTTCTCCAAAATAAAAACCAATTATTGAAAACATTTGTTTAATGCATTTTGCTAAGAAAACAAGTAAAACATCTTAAAAACCACGTCATTTAGATAAAAACCACGGCTAGCCAAGTTTACGCCGTTTCACATGGTTTTCACTAAACGACCAAAAACAAAAGGTGGTTTTTGAAGCATTTATGTTGGAGAACTATTTAAATATGCCCAGAAGTAAAAAAATAATAAAATGTTGAAAACCACTTGGTTGGTTCGGACGCCAAAAACCAACCCCGATAACCGAATGCCGAACGCCGGTTTCTGAGAGCCGAACGCTGGATGGCTTGGTTTTTGGTTTGGGCGAACACCAAGTGTTTTAGGCTTGTTTAAAAAAACTTATGAAAAGCATTTTTGAATATGCAAAAGAGTATTTTAATGAAGCGAGCCTAGAGAGCCAAGTTTTGAAGTTTGTGCTGGTCTTGATCACATTAAGACCGACTCAATAAATTCTAAGTCTTCGTTCTTGGTTCTTGGTTCTCGGTTCTCAAGTCATCATGCCATGTTCCTTCGCCTTTGATTTGCTCAGTTTAATCTTGTTGTCACGGTGGTTTGGCATTATCAAAACTTGTCATAAAACGAACACGGTTTAGTATGACATAGGCGTAAACCCGTGTTCCAACAATTTCCCCCTTTTTGATAATGGCAAACAAGACGGGAAAGAAGTGGGAAGTTTCCTTTGTTGTATTTTATTTATCATGTAATCATGTTTGTTGTATTGTTTTCTCCATTCCATGGCCTATATATTTCAGCCCTGGTTCATTGTATTAATCAGCTTGTAAAAATATATTGTGATAATATAAGTTTCTTGCTCAGCCTCTCTCTAAATTCTATATATTAAATCCTAATTCTATATCTTAAGAGTGGTTCTCTTAAGTGGGAGATTTAGGTTCTATATATATTAAATAAGTTGAGTGATTCCTTATTTAAATACTAGAGTTTAACCCGAGTGAAGATAAGTGTGTGTGATTCCTCTTATTATTCACTTGATAAATGCTTCTTTCCCTCACCTTTGTTCTCTCCTGAATTCAGCCTCCCCTATATTTCTACATCCTTCTCTTCTTCTTTCTCTTCTTAAGTTGATATCCTAGACCACCCCGGGTCTCGAGTACAACATTTGGTATCAAAGCCTGGCTGTTGAACATCTCTTTGAGGACCACAAACACTTCCCTCTCATTCTCTGTTTCTCTCCCAATCTTGATCCTGATAGCATCGATAATCATTTTTCAAACTCAGATAATCGACTATCTTACCTTGCTGAATTTTCTTCACATCACCAACTACACCCCTCTTTCCCTACACCTGGTTATTTTAAACCATGTCTCACACAACTCAAAACATGTCCCAAGAAGAGCTTATTGCTTCAAATGCAAAATTAAAGGCTCAAGTTGAATACTTGGCAAAAGAAGTGGCAAAGCTCACTAAATTCAAGTTGAGTATGGTTCAAACTCCCGAAGAAAGTGAAGATGAAGATGATGCTAGTTCTGTTGCTACCATAAGAGCTAGAAATCCAGAGAAGTCAGCCTCTGATTTCAAGGTTGACATGCCCACTTTCGAAGGAAAGAACGACCCTGATGACTTTTTTGAATGGTTAGAGACCGTTGAATGTGTCTTTGACTTCAAGAATGTGTCCGAAGAGAAGAAGGTCAAACTCGTGGCCTTAAAGTTCAGAAAGTATGCGCCAACATGGTGGACCAACGTCACCATTAGGCGTAGAAGAGAAAACAAGTCCCCGGTGACCTCGTGGAACAAGATGCGAGCACTCTTGAAGAAGAAGTTTCTGCCCGAGAACTACATACGAGAAAACTTTTCTAAGCTTCAACACTTGAAGCAAGGCTCTCGTTCTGTAGAGGAATACAAACGAGAGTTCGAGGAACTCTTATTAAGGTGTGATCTTCAAGAAGATGATTCACAAACTTTTGTGAGGTATCTATTTGGATTGAATGTCCAAATAGCTAACACTGTGGAACTTCAAGACTACCACACTCTTGACGATCTTACAAAGCTGGCTCTCAAAGTTGAAAGCCAAATCAAGAAAGGCAAGGCTGCCCAAATGAGAATCTCCTCTTCAAATCCACCTTTGCTCCCCACCCCTTCATCTCCTTCACCTTCCCCAGCTCCTNAAGGCTCTCGTTCTGTAGAGGAATACAACCGAGAGTTCGAGGAACTCTTATTAAGGTGTGATCTTCAAGAAGATGATTCACAAACTTTTGTGAGGTATCTATTTGGATTGAATGTCCAAATAGCTAACACTGTGGAACTTCAAGACTACCACACTCTTGACGATCTTACAAAGCTGGCTCTCAAAGTTGAAAGCCAAATCAAGAAAGGCAAGGCTGCCCAAATGAGAATCTCCTCTTCAAATCCACCTTTGCTCCCCACCCTTTCATCTCCTTCACCTTCCCCAGCTCCTTCCTCTCACCATAAACCCATACTTTTAACCCCTCCCTCAAATATCCAAAATCAACCTCGGCACAATCAAAATATCAATTGAACTCTGAAATGTTATCGTTGCCAAGGGAATGGTGACATAGCTCAAGATTGTCCCAATAAGAAGGTCATGACTCTTGTGGAGTGCAATGATGATACTTTTGACCCTTCATGGGATAAAGAAGAAGAAGAGTATGTCAGACCTGATGATGGAGAGCTTTTGGTCATTCGTAGAACTTTAAGTGTGATGGCCTGTCCAAAAGAAGAAATACAACGAGAGAATATCTTCCATACTCGTTGTACAATCCAAGAAAAGGTGTGCTCTCTCATCATTGATAGTGGGAGTTGTACGAATGTTGCCTCTAAGACTATTGTGGATAAACTCCAACTGAAAACTTCACCACACCCGACACCATACACGATTCAATGGCTGAATCATGGTAAAGGGTTACGTGTTGACACTCAATGCTTGGTGTCACTAAGTCTTGGGCAAACCTACAAGGATGAAATATGGTGTGATGTGATACCAATGGACGCTTGTCATGTGCTGCTCGGACGACCTTGGTTGTTTGGTCGCAGGGTTCTTTACGATGGATACGCTAACACGTATTCATTCCTCAAAAAAAAAAAAGAGAATCACCCTTACTTGTCTTCATCCTGAAGAAAAATCTCCCGTTTATCTGTCAACATTGATACGAGCTGGTAAATCTGAATACATAGATGACACTCGTCGTGAGACGATAGCAATGACTCAAGTCAACCAGCATGTTTGTGGGAACGTGAATGTAAACACGAGAGACCTCAATGATCATTCCAAGCCAATTTATACTCCGAGTTTGAGGTCAAACTCTTTTGAAGACGGGGAGGATGTTGTACCCCACCATGCATCACAAAAGGGAAAGAAGTGGGAAGTTTCCTTTGTTGTATTTTATTTATCATGTAATCATGTTTGTTGTATTGTTTTCTCCATTCCATGGCCTATATATTTCAGCCCTGGTTCATTGTATTAATCAGCTTGTAAAAATACATTGTGATAATATAAGTTTCTTGCTCAGCCTCTCTCTAAATTCTATATATTAAATCCTAATTCTATATCTTAAGAGTGGTTCTCTTAAGTGGGAGATTTAGGTTCTAGATATATTAAATAAGTTGAGTGATTCCTTATTTAAATACTAGAGTTTAACCCGAGTGAAGATAAGTCTGTGTGATTCCTCTTATTATTCACTTGATAAATGCTTCTTTCCCTCTCCTTTGTTCTCTCCTGAATTCAGCCTCCCCTATATTTCTACATCCTTCTCTTCTTCTTTCTCTTCTTAAGTTGATATCCTAGACTACCCCGGGTCTCGAGTACAACAAGGTGTGAAAGAGTTCCCCCTTAATTTGTGCTTAAAATAAGTAGGCGTTTTAAAATCAAATTCGTTTTAACATCAAACGATCCCGTTTAGAGACGTTCCCCCTTAGTGTATGCATAGCCCTTTTCTTCCCCCTTTTGACATTAACAAAAAGATTACTTTTATTGATTGAAATGGGAAATAGCGGAGTACAACGGAAGCATTTAAAAAACATGATAATTAAAAGAGAAGAGATAGAAATTCTAGGGCGTCCTAGTCTTCGTCTTCCTCCTCTTCGCCTCCGGTTTCTTTGTCGTCGTCGACGTCCATTTCATCACCGTCAATGGCGTCATCGAACTCATCCTCGTCCGGGGAGCTCGATGGGGCGTAGGAGCCATCCTCTTCGTCCTCGTCACCGTACACTTATCCAAGGAACGTGCCATGGTACGGTGGGGGGACGTAGTTAACGCGTTGGAAGTACGCGTTCATGGCGTGCCCTTGGCGTTGGACAGCCTCGTCGAGCCGCTCAAGGTAGCCATCCATCCCGTCAACTTTGAAGTGAAGCTGGTTGAGGGAGTCGGCGATGGAATCAAGGTTGGTCCGGGCCTGGGGTTCGGCTGGGCTAGCAGCAGGACGGCGGCATGCGGTAGTGGCAGTGGCAGGCGCGGCGTTGTCCGACCACTTGGTGAAGGTTTGGGCGCTGATCGTCCAAAGCTTCGTGGCCTTCGTGAGCGGGCCAACGGTGGTGGTGACCTTGAACCGTTCAAGGATGTCCATCACCACGAACGGGTACGAGAGGAGGTGATCGTGGTTGGGAGACGCGGCGATCGTCATGTAGATCATGACAAACTTCGCCCAATTGATTGGTGCCGAGTGCATGATCGCATGGATGAGCTTGAGGTCCTCACCGGACATGATCGTGTGCCCATGCTTCCGGGGCTTGATGATCCGGGTCACGATGTAGAGGAGGAGACGGCCTTCGGGGGATGCAGAGTGGATGGTAGGGCGGCCCGTGGGATGACGGATGAGCTCGGTGATGCCATGCTCATTGAGGACAAGGCCCTTGTTGTTGAGCACCCAGTCTTCTCCGCCATAGAGGGAGATGTCGTCACCTTGGTAGGGGAGGCCGGCGATGTGCCCAAGCTGCTCAACGGTGAGCTCAATCGGCGTGGACTTGACAAGGCTGTAGATGACGTCGTCCTCACGCTAGAGATTCGAGTAGAAGGCCCGAATCAGCGCCAGGTTGATCTCTTTCCGAGCTCGGGAGACGAACGGCCATAGGCTGGTTTGGTGAAGCTGCGCGTCGAGGTCGTCGTAGCCCTGCAACTCCGGTAGGCGCTCCGGGATGATCCGTGGGGGAGCCACCATCTGTTTAGAGAAGAAGGTTAGAAAACGGGTGCGCTCCTCCTCAGAATCGAACCAAAGGTACGACCCATCGCCAGAGTAGAGGCGTTCCTCGGGGGATGTCGTAGGACCCCAGGATTTGGACTTGGATTTCCTGGAAGTTCCTGCCCTGCTCTTGTCTTTGCCCATGGTGATGAAGAAATCTCAATAAAAGTTGTAGAGAAGATGAAATTTGCTTGAATATTGAAGAGATTTGTGTTTGTCTGTGTAAAAGTGAAGAGAGGAGACCAAAATATATAGGGAGAGGGGTTCCCAACGTTCAAAAGTTTGAAAAAATAGCTATTGGAGCATTTAATGCAGTTGCCAACGGTTATTTTTTTTTGAAAGATTCAACGCGAACAGCGATGTTCTGAACGAGACATCGCTGTTAGGACTATGCTGTTGTACCCTCATACAGCGATGTTCTGCGTTAAGTTAAAAAATCAGGTGTCAAAAGGACAACGATGTTGGGTATCCTACAACGATGTTCCAAAACTTTCTAGAAATGTGTAAGGGTTTGAACCCATTAGAACAGCGCTGTTGGGTTTCCCTACATCGATGTTTTACGATTAAAAAAAATTTGAAAAAAAAAATTGGACAGCGATGTTTCAAAGGTGGACACCGCTGTTGAAAAACGTTTTGGTTTTGCTTGAAAACATGGTGTTTAGGAAAACAGCGATGTTAAGAAGTGTACAGCGCTGTTAGAAAAGATTCTGGAAAGTATAAAGGAAGAGAACTCCCTATGACAGCGCTGTTGGTGTATTGTACAGCGCTGTTGGCCTATGTTGGTTGACGGTGTTTTCTTCAACAGCGCTGTTTATCTCCTGGACAGTGCTGTAGGAACAGCGATGTTGTCCTTCTTACAGCGGTGTTTGCATGGTTCCCCCTGATTTTACGAACGGGGTACCTGTAAAGAAGAACAACACTTTGGTATCCAAAGTATGTCTATGGGTTCTTGGGGGTTAGTTGACCTTTATTGCCCACACACACACACCCAAAATTTGTTTCCTTACGCGCAAACACACACACACACGATTAGATGATCATTTAGGAATTACCTTGGCCAACCCGTCGTCTCGTGGTTGGCGGGTTCCAGTCTACCTGAACGGAGTTCCGATATCTCGGTGTGGTCTGTGTCGGTTCTGGTAACGGAATGTGGACTTTCTTCTTTTCGTCAAAGTAGAAGAAATAATATGGTTTCTTTTGTGCGTTTTCCTGTGGAGATTGCCTATGATACGAATATCCTTTTTTAAAGGATTTCTTTTCGTTAGCACCAAAGGTGTTGTGTGTTTCATTATAGGTGGAGTGCCTATGTCTGGTAAAACACACAAGAGCTATATGGCCTATCCTATTACAATAATGGCAAACTACGTTGGGATTGTGCATGTGCCTAGGTTCATAATAGTTAGAGGGTCTAACCATATTGTTTTTATTTTGTGAAAAAGATGGTCTTTGAAAGGTTGTCTACTATGAACATTTTCATTCCTAGGTTTTAGTCTAGGTTGTCTAGTGTCCTTAGGTTGACTAAGTTTTCTATTATTCTGATTTTTAAGTTTCTTACGTTGAGCCTTAGGTGGTTGCTCAACGCTTTCCTTATCCTTAGCTCCATTAAAACCTATTCCTTCTTTAGAAAAATGCATGGTGTCAAGGAGTAAATTAAGATCTTTGTGCGGAGTATTAAATTTCTTAACCGTACTCTCAAGTTTTGTGACTTGTTCCTTTAAAGCTTTACAAGATTCACATTCGTTTGAGGAACTTTCCGGTTTGTCGGCGCTTCTTTTGCCATAAAATTTATTTTCTTATTTTAATTTCTCATTATCTTTTTCTAGATTTTCATAATCATTTTCAAGAGTGGATAGGCGTTTCTTTAACAATTTGTTGATTTTAGAAGCGCTAACAAATTCATCATAAAGTTCATGAAGTCTTTCTTGCATTTCTTCAAAAGTGTAAGAGTCGAAAGAAATGGTACATACCTCTTGTACATCATCAGTTTGGTCTTCGTGTGCTATGTGACAAAGGTTGGCGGCTTCATCCTCTTCTTAGTCGGTTGACTCGTCGCCGGAGTCGCCACCTCACGAGATATATGCTTTTTGCTTTTTGAAGTGACGAGCATTCCTTCCGCTTCTCGGGCATTTGTTCTTGATGTGCCCGGCTTCAGCACATCCATAGCACACAGGACCATCCTCAGCCTTCTCTTTCTTCCTTAGAAGTTTACAAAACTTCTTCATGACCAACTTGACTTCATCATCGTCACTTGAATCGTTCATCGTTGATTCTTTGACAGCTTTTAATGTTATGCCTTTCCTTTGGTCATTCAAAGACGGGTTAAGTATAGTAGATTCATAAGTTTTTAAATTACCTCTTAAACCGTCGATGGTGACATTTGACATTTAAAAAAGGTTCTCACATTTAATTCATAGCATTTATTCTAATGATTTATTTCAATAAATCATTTCAAAGTACACATCATAATTAATTGTTAGAATAATAGACCAACGCTAGAGGGGGGGTGAATAGCGTTTGATCAAGAAATCGCAGGAATAAAAATGAATAAGCGAGAAGTAAAGAGAAAAGAACGAGGCACACCGATTTTACCCTGGTTCACCACAATTTGTGGCTAGTCCAGCCTCCCAAGAGACTCTCTCGAGCTACACTACTATCTCGTTAAGCTTAACGGTGCTTAACAAACCCGTACAACTTGAGAATTCGAGTCACACGAACCTCAACGAACCTTCGAAGGAAACAACCCTTCCTTCGAACAACAAGAGAAATATCTTCTCTTGTCAAGTGTCTAAGAACACTAAAAACACTCAAGAACAATACTCTCTTTTAGAGTGGATAATGAGTAAACTAAGAACGCTCAAGAACACAACACAGGCTTCACAAAAATGGCTCTCAAAAGCTATGACAAATTGAAGAATGATTTGCAATGAAAGAGTAGGAGTTGTGAAGTAATGTGATGTGTAAAACAGACCCAAACACCCCATTTTATAGTAGAAAAATAGGCTCCAACGGACCAAAGTATTTAAGGGGTGATTGGCATAATTTGTGGGATTTGATTAAAATTGGATCTACTGAAATTCACCCTGACAACGCTGTCCTAGGCTTGGACATCGCTGTTCTAGGCTTGATTTTTAAAAATTGGGAAGCAACGGTCATGCCAACAGCGATGTCCAAAACCCCTACATCGCTGTTTTGGCTGTTGACTTTAAAACAAGGAAAGTTTTAGCCTTAAATTCCTTCCAACGGTCAGGTCTCTACATCGATGTTCTATCCTAGAACATCGCTGTTTAGGTCTGCCTTTGGAGATGGAAGTTTGGCCTGACAGCGCTGTTGCTGGGTCAACATCGCTGTCCAAAAACTTTCTGCCAATGCACTATATATTTGGCTTAGTTTGGACAGCGCTGTAGGGAAGCCTACATCGCTGTTCCAGAAGTTTCTGGAAATCCAACCTTGGCTCAACAGCGATGTCTAGTGACCAACATCGCTGTTGGAAGACTTAACGCCAAACCATGTTTTTAGCTACCCAGTCCAGACAGCGCTGTTGATTACCTCAACATCGCTGTTGGGCTGGTTTAGCCAGACCCATGGTTGGTTTAGTCACGCCGTTAGCCGATGTCAAAAATGCAAGTTCTCCAAAATAAAAACCAAGTTTAGAAAACATTTGTTTATTGAATTTTGCTAAGAGAACAAGTAAAACATCTTGAAAACCACGTCATTTAGTTGAAAACCACGGCTAACCAAGTTCGTGCCGTTTCGCATGGTTTTTACTAAACGACAAAAAACGGAGAGTGGTTTTTGAGGCGTTTTTGTTGGAGAGCTAATTAAATATGCCCAGAGGTAAAAACCAGTCATAAAAAGTTGAAAACCACTTGGTTGGTTCGAACGCCAAAAACCAATGCCGAAAACCGAAAGCCGAATGCCGGTTTCTGAAAGCCGAACGCCGGATGGCTTGGTTTTTGGCTTGGGCGAACTCCAAGTGTTTTGACCCAAGTTTAAACTTAATAAAAATATTTTTGAACATGTAAAAGAGATTTTTATGAATTGAGCCTAGAGAGCCAAGATTTGGAATTTTGTGCCGGTCTTGATCACATTAAGACCGACTCAATACGATTTTAGTTCTTCGTTCTTGATTCTGGGTTCTTGGTTCTCAAGTCATCATGCCATGTTCCTTCGCCTTAGTTTTGCTCACTTTAGCTTTGATATGTCGCGGCGGTTTGGCATTATCAAAACCTGTCATAAAAACCGAACACAGTTTAGTACGACGTAAGGCGTAAACCCGTGTTCCAACATTAATTTCTTCATTTATTCTAGATTTGGGTCTGTACTCAGGTTCCCAATTAAGGTCACACAATAAGTCAATATATTGGATTTATCTCTATGAGATTTATCCAGATTGTGATAATGGATATCAAAACATATTCCGTATAGGCTCAAAGCCCAACAACAAATTATTTTAATCAAAACAAATTTGATTAATAATTCTAGGGTATGTTTTGGGGCGTTACATACATATTCTCATAAAAAGAGAATTCCATAGAATACTAACCTCTGGATTTTCAAATATGGCTTCCTGAAGAAACTGTCCTGAAATCTTTGCATAAATCTCCCACCTTAGGCAACGTGGAATCCAATCTTCTCTTCCTTTTACAATTTGAGAATGCCCCGACACTCTCAAGGAAGGAAATTTCTCAAATGCCCATACCTGTAAGGCAAAGGCAAACCCTCCAAACGTCACTCTTCCCCTTCCACGAGCTTTAAGGGATTGTGCACATCTCCTAGCATGTGTTAACAACTCTTCCCATATGTCTTCACCCCATGGGAATTTATTGAATGCATCCAAATCATCTACTAGGTTAATGTATCCAATAGGAAAAGTAACACATGACTGGTGCCCAAACATAACATTGCCCAACAGGTGCAGCAACATCATCACTTTCTACTCCGGGGTCATCTCTGTTGTGCTGCATCAGTGCATCCGTAATATGACATCGCTAAACAGATTTTCCCGTATTGAAATACCTTAACCCGAAGCCACCCAACCTTTCATCATTCAAACTTATCCTATTCCCTCTGCTTCCCCGTCCTGTGATAAGTTCAAATTCGGCTTTGTGAACAAGACTTTTCTCCCCTTTATTTTGAACTTCATTTCTTTACATCCAGTTATTCCTTGCTTTGGCAACTTGTACCTTTCTAACAGACCAACTAAAAGCCCATTACTAATCCATCTAACTTCAGGAACATCCAATAGTTTTCAGAAAACCGTGCCTCTTAAGACTTCAAGCTCCTCCTTTCTCAACACGCCTTTAATTCTACGTACAGTCTCAAGCACATTACAATAAGTGTTAATTCTTCCATCTTTAGGCTGTGCTCTATCACCTTTCTTCACAAATTTACGTGATACCTGTATATTAAAAGTTTGTTTAAAACAACAATATATAAGTCACAATGCAATCCCTCACAAAAAGACCATAGGTCTACTGGAAAAACTCAATTGAACAACGAAAATAAGTCACAATCCAATCCCTCACAACAAGACCATAGGTCGACTAGAAAAACGCAGTTCAACAACGAAAATAAGTTACAATGCAATCCCTCACAACATGATCATACGTCTACTCGAAAAACGTAATTGAACAACGAAAATAAGTCACAATGCAATCCCTCACAACAAGATCATAACGCAGTTCAACAACAAAAAGAAGTCACAATGCAATCCCTCACAACATGGCCATGCATCTACTGGATAAACGCAATTGAACAACAATAATTAGTCACAATGCAATCCCTCACAACAAGACCATGCATGTACTGAAAAACTCAATTGAACAACAAAACTAGGTCACAATGCAATCTCTCACAACATGACCATGCATCTACTAGAAAAACGCAGTTCAACAACAATGTTAAGTCACAATGCAATCTATCACAACATGATCATAGGTCTACTGGAAAAACTCAATTGAACAACGAAAATAAGTCACAATGCAATTGATCACAACCTGACCATGAATCTACTGGAAAAACTCAATTGAACAATGAAAATAAGTCACAATGCAATCCCTCACAACATGACCATGCATCTACTGGAAAAACTCAATTGAAAAACAAAACTAGGTCACAATGCGACCCTCACAACATCACCATGCATAAACTGGAAAAACGCAATTGAAAAACAAAACTAAGTCACAATGCAATCCCTCACAATAAGACCATGCATGTACTGGAAAAACTCAATTGAACAACAAAACTAGGTCACAATGCGATCTCACAATGCAATTGAACAAAAACGAAACCTCAGATTCGGAAACTAAGATTCATCACCTTCTGTCGCTTCGCCATTTGCTTTGTCGTAGGTCGCTTATCTTCATCAGCAATTTCATCCGATCGAGTGTCTTCTTCGTCCGTCATCTTCTCCGATTAAGCCACAATGCGAAGTAGATGAATTGGGAAGTAGGTGAATTGGGAAGCAAATGAATTGTGAAGCAGAGGAATTGTGAATTTATTTGGTTTTTCTAGGCGCTCTGATCGAAGAAGAACTAATTGTTGGGAAAAATTATAGATTTTGATGATGATGTATTTAGATTGTAATAGGGACTTTAGGTCACCCCCAATATTCAATGTAATTTTCTTTTTGGAAGTATTGTTAAAACCAAGTTCTTGAGATTTCCAATAAAACTTGTGATATTTCACTTTGTGGTTTGATGTTACTCTTTGAAGACTTAACAAATCCAGTGATACGGAAATTGGAATTCTTGCTCGGAAATGTCAGAGACAAGTAAGGAATTCTCAAAGAAGTTGTTTACTTTGAATTCTCAAATCCGGAATGCTCTATCTCACCCGGAAGTCTTGCTACAACCCGCTGAAGGCTAAGTCACCCGGATCGGAAGACAAGCGCGGATCTCTATCTCACCCGGAAGTCTAGGAATGACTAATTCGGAACTGTCAGCTAAGAACCGGATGTCTCAAAGAAATTCGGAATTGTTAGAAGCAGAGAAGTGAGAAAAGACTTAGAATTTATCTAAGTCATGAATGAAGAAATTCTAATCGTTGGTAAGGAAAAATCAATTTCTTGATTTTCAACGGTTAGATTGAGGATAATAAAGATGATTCAAGAACAAATGACATGAAGACAAAGTATGGATTTCTCAAATTGAAGAGCTCGCCCAGAATTCCTAAACAAACACAAGAAGACAAAATGGGTACTCCACTCAATAAAGGGCTACAATCTAGAATTCTTGAACAACAGCTAGATGATGGATTCTGTGAAAAAGGAATCCTTCTTCAAACAATTGGGTATGTCTAAACACCCACTCCAAAGGAGAATCCTCAATCTCACTCTTCGTTCAAAATTTAAACCAGCAAATGCAACGGATAGTCTATTCCCTTCAACGGATAGATTATCCATCCAGCCTATATATAGCTCTCATGGAAGACTGAAGAAGATACGATAGCAACAATAACTAAGTGCAACAACAGCAAACAACTCAAAAAGCTATCTCATTCACAGTTAACCAAAAAGCTTGATAAAGAGAGATCTCTAAACTCCTTATCCAGAAGCAAACTCCTCCTTCTTCCAAAGAGCTATAGTGTAAACACTTGAAGGTTTCCTTGTCTCAAGTACCACACCACGTTGAAGGATACAACTTTTAATCAAACTTCTTGATTAAAACGGGGCACATCGACTTTTCTACAAGTTGATCTTGCAAGTCCTATTGTTCGGACCTTGCAGTTGTTGAAGAAGCGTGACCTTCGAAGGAACAACAAAGCCAGCACGAGTGCAGTAGCAATATTGGCCTTGCGAAGATATACCGTGCAGAAATTCACAAAAGTGTAATTGTTGGTTCATCATTCAACAACCAACTACATAGTGGATTTTGAGGACGTAGAAGGATTACCCCACCTTTGAACCTCGTTAAAGTTTGCGTGTTTCTCTCTTTTATCTTTACTTATATTTGCACTTATATTAAGTGTGAAACTAACCCATCCATATTGATTACTGCTCCAATAATCCACCAACTTCCGCACACAATCTAAGTTCACAAGAACTTTAGATTAACACTCATTTTCACGTTTTCAAAAGAAACGAAAAAGTTTTTAAATTTGTAACAAAGTCTATTCACCCCCCCCCCCCCCTCTAGACTTTGTATCTCACCACTTAGGGGACCACCAATTGGTATCGGAGCTTACTTCTCACTATCTACATTTAGATTAAAGAGAAGCAATCATAATGGTGAACAATATGGATCACGGTTTGCCCAAGTTTTCTCTTCTAGGTTATGATGATTGGAAGACCATGATGGAAGCACACCTCTACGCCCTGCATGATTGCATGTGGATGGTGCTTGAAGAAGGGCCATTGAAGATTCAAATGGAAAATCCAGAGAGGGATCCTAACAATCCAGACGTAGTCAAGTACATTCCAAAGCCCAAGGATAAATGGGATGATAGAGATTGCAAAAAGCACAATCTTGACAACGTCGCCAAGGCAGCCATCTTCAAGACACTTTATCCCATCACCTTTTCCAAAATCAAGCATCTCAAAACCGCCATGGAAATATGGCAAGGTCTTGGGAAGCTGTGTGAGGGATCAAAGGATATGAGAAAGCAGAAAATACAGGTTCTGCTTGAAAATTTCAAAAGCTTCAAAATGCTTCGCACAGAATCATTTGACTTGTTGGATGAACGATTCCACAAGATTTTAAATGATCTTGCATCACTTAACCACGTTCTCTCGGGAGGCTAGACTAGCCACACGTTGTGGTGAACCAGGGTAAAATCGGTGTGTTCTTTCCTTACGCTTTTTTATTCCGCTCTTTACTTTATCCCTACGATTTTTATTCCGCAAAAATTTATAAACATTCTCGTGCCTCACTATTCACCCCCCTCTAGTGAAGGGCACTTATTCTAACAATTGGTATCAGAGCCTAGCTCTCTAAAAGCCTTAACGGGTTGAGAGAACGATCTATATTTCTTTTTGAGAATGTCGTATGTAGGATTAAGCGAAGGACACTCCACCGTTAGACCTCCACTCTTCGATGGAACAAACTACACCTATTGGAAGGAAAGAATGAGGATTTACATTCGGTCAATCAACTTCCAACTGTGGTTAATCATCAAAAATGGTGAGACGATGCCAATGAAAAAGGTTGGTGAAACCACCATCCCAAAGACGGAGGAAGAATATGATGCTGAAGATATCAAGAAGGTAGAAGCTTTTGAAAAAGCTAAACACATGTTTTTCTGTGCAATTAACCCGGATGACTACCGGAAAATTTCTTCTTGCTCCACTGCAAAAGAAATGTGGGATAAGCTTGAAGTGACATACGAAGGTACGCCTCAAGTCCGTGAAGCTAAAATTGATTTTCTAACCCATGAATATGAGTTGTTTAAAATGAAGGAAATTGAAAGCGTTGATCAAATGTTTGACTAATTTTTAAAGATCATCAATGATCTCCATGTCCTTGGGAAAGCATACTCAAACAAAGATCTTATTCGGAAAATCCTTCGGAGCTTAACACCGGAATGGCGTTCAAAAGCCGATGCCATATATGAGTCGATAGGTAACACCAACGTCACCATCGATGGTCTTCGAGGTAATCTTAAAACTTATGAATCTACTATTCTTAAACCTTCTCTTGACAAGAGTCATGGTCTCGCTCTCAAAGCCTCATCCTCAAAAAGGGTAGAGGTAAGTGACTCTGATAGCGATGACGATAATCCTTCATATAACTTGCTCGAAAAATTCCAAGAGTTTTTGAAGGAAGAACTTGGGTCCCGAGATTGTAAAAGAAAGGGGGAACCCGTTCCAACGTGCTTTGGTTGTGGAGAACTTGGCCACATAAAGCCATATTGCCCAAACCGCAAGGAAAAGAAGAAGAAGGAACGAGCATACATGGCATGGGATTCGGAAAGTTCCGGTGACGAAACTGCCACCTTATGTCTTAAGCCACATGAACGAAATGGAGAGGTAAGTACTTCTAAGTCCTTCTCGTTTGAAGAATTACAAGAAGCCTTTCAAGAATTATTTGGTGAATTGAAGAAAACTTCAAAACTTGCCAAAGAGGCTAAGGCTAAAATTCATGCTTTGGAAAAGGAAAATAAATTTTTGGAAAATGATAATTTTGACCTTAAAAATAAGATTAAGGCAATGAATGAAGCTTCTTCCTTTGGCCAAAGTTCTACTTGTTCCTCTTGTGAGTCTTTAAAAATAGAGAATGTAGAACTTAAGAGCACCATAGAAAAACTTAAGGTAAAAGAGCCTAAGAAACTTGGTGAAGAATTTAAGAATGATAAACCACCTAGAAGAACAAATAATCCTAGGAATAACAAAATTAATTTTAGAAAGAATAAAAATAATAAGTTGCGACAACCTAGAAATGACTCTAAGATTTTTATAAATCATAAGAATAATTTATGACAACCTAGAAATGAGTCTAGGAACTTTATTTACAATTTTAGGAATAATGACTTTAGATCACCTAGAAATTTTTTGGCTCAACCTAGGAATATGCATAATCCAAATGTAGTTTGCCATTATTGCTCTAAGATAGGACACATAGCACCCGTTTGTTTTACCAAACACATGGATTTGTTTTATAGCTATGATTATTATTTGCCTAACCTTCAAAGACCCAAACGTTTTTGGGTACCTAAAAATTATTTTTAGATGCATATGTAGCTGTGTTTGAAGACTACAATTTTGTAGTGGATGCTCCAAGCATGAAACCTAATGATTTGCATCAAGGGGAGTTTGGGTGGAATTGTTTTTGCTATAAACATGGTATCAGTTTCAGGGGGAACATACAACAATGATGTTTTGTATCAAACATCAATGCTCACGGAGTACCTTTTTTAAAAAAAAACTTTACTTAGTGCTTTTTGCTAATGCCAAAAGGGGGAAGTGTTTGGGTATATGTTGGAGTTGTGCCGTGATGGCCAACTGTTCATCGTTATCCTTTCACGTATAGGTAGATATAATATGTTTACACATCTCATGCTAATGTAAACGAATATTATATTCCTAGATTTATATTTAAAGATGTTTATGAGATAGTGTTTTTCTGCTCATGAGACTAACATCTTGAAATAAATATTTGTCTAAATGTTCATAGTCGAGTATTAACGAGAGTAGGATATCGTTAATGCATGTGAGACTAGTGTGTGTTGGATGTTTGACTTAGTCTCATAGTCAATGACGGTGTGTTCGCATCTGCACATGGGCAGATATTATCTAGAGATAATAGGATGCCGGACTGACCCATCCTAAAGATGTTGCTTGAACTTTTAGTTCATACTCTAAATATCTTTAGCGCGACCACGGGTGTAACTATCCTTCGACTTGAAGTATTACGTTTTCTGCATATGTGAACCCGCATACTTTGATGCATTGTCCTAAGCCATATGAAATAAGGATGGTATACAGGCTTTGTTTTGGGTATGCCGCAGCGCGTATTCAGAAACGTAGATTACGTACATAGGACTTGTCACTACTCTTTTTAAAAGAGATTAATGTCTTATGGGGCCCACTGATAAGTTATGATTGAGGAAATTGCATGGCCATGCTGAGATGTTTTTATGACGTCTGTTCTCAGTCAGGCTTGATAAATCACTGAATGACTTAATGGATACAAGCTGGATTTTATTAATCCCTTGCATTAAGTTTAGACATTGAGACAAAGGGATACAGTTACACGGAGTCTGAGTCGTGGAAAGGTTTTGACGGTGCAAACGTCTTAACTTATAATCTGGGGGCAATAATGTGTTGCTAGATACCGCTTATTGCTTATAGTATTGGTGCAGAGCCAATACTGTGGCCAGCTTTATAAGTGCCTATACGGGTCACACACTTTGGACAATTTAAGGAGTAGGATTAAACAATGGGATAATAAGTAATTTGTATATTTGTAAAATAGTAAAATAAAATATTTTGGAGTATAATATATATTATATATACGGTTTATATATATATATATATATATATATATATATATATATATATATATATATATATATATAAATAATATATATATATATATATATATATATATTATATGTTGAATATTTTATTTTGGTTTGTCATTTTAATTATGAAAATAATTATTTTGACATAAACTATTTAAAGTATATTTGTATACTTGTTTAAAATGATAAGGGTATTTTTATTTGATGTAAAATTAATTTTATATTAATTTTTGGTGTCAAATAAAATACACTTTGAACATTTGAGTGGAGAAGAATTTCACAAATCCTTCTCATATCATTGTTCGGCCAAGTGGAGATTATTGAATCAATTTTTCTTCTTGATTGATTCTTTAGTGGAGCTAATATTGTTTTAATGACAAAGTATGATTAATCAATTTGTAATCTTTGTTTTTTTAAAAGCACGGCAATTTCATTATAATGGGTGAAGATTATCAATTGATTAGTTTTTAGTACACTTTCGGCCATTTTGAGATTTTAGTGAGAGAAAATATTTTAGTGTTCCATTAATATCATTTTGTGTATAGAAAATATCTATAATATTTTCTAAATATTATTAGAAATATTTTGTATAGAAATATATAAGATTATTATTATCCCACTTTTAATCTTTATATTTTATACTACTATAATCTTCACTAGCATAAAAATTGTGGTAGACTCCGGCGTTGTTCGTGTGTCAAAGTTGGAGACCGGACGCTTGAACGGTTACGTTTGCACTTTCAACGCTCTTCCTACGACTTCTTCGTTTTTACCGCTTACGAAAAAAGGTATAAATTTCTTACTTACTTTAAGTTTTAGTACGTGATTCTGGGCAAGATAATCATGTTAGGATGTTAAAATTTTATATTCCGCTGCCTATCCTTGCATGGTTACCTTTCAGTATATGCAACAAGTGAGGGGGAATCTTGTTTTCAAAGACGTAGGGGGAATTACCATTACTCTCTATTTGAAAACCCAACTTGGCCTGCATCTCCCCTCCTTGGTTTGTCATTATCAAAAAGGGGGAAATTGTTGGAAAACATTTTCACTTTGACATTTTGCTAATGACAATGTTTGTTCCCGTTTAGGTTTTGATATTGACAAACCGTCGGGAACATGGAACAAAATGAAAAGATTCAAAGAGATAGAAAAAGTTCTTTTAAGAAAAAAAAGCACAGGAAAGGCATTGACGTTGCTAAAGATGGCGACATTGGCGCTTTGAAGACGTTTTCTAAAGACTTAGGTTTTTATTGTAACAAGCTCATTCAATTTCTCTAAGTCATGGCTCAAAACAAAATATGTTTTTCATGCATCAAATGAGTGTTTTCATAAATGGTTTTTAAGTTTCTAAAACCCATGGTTCTTGCTTAACCAAAACCATAACCATCGATTATCGGCATTCGGCTATGGCGTACGGTTATCGGAATTGGTTATTGGCATTGATTTTAACCAAATGGTTTTTGGGTTTTTATCTTTGTTTTATGCTTCTAGACACATTTAAAGGTTTTCCAAATCATTAGTTTTCAAAAACCATAACCTTTGTTTTTTCGGCGTTGGTTATCGGCATTTGGCGCTGGTTATCGGCGTTGGTTTTTGGCGTCCAAATCAATCAAGTGGTTTTTAATATTTTATGATTGGTTTTTACTTCTGGACATATCCAAATGGTTCTCCAATAAAAACAGTTCAAAAACCACCTCTCGTTTTTGGTCGTTTGGCAAAAACCATGCGAAACGACATAAACTTGGCTAGCCGTGCTTTTTACCATAATGAAGTGGTTTTTATGTTTTTATACTTGGTTTCTACATAAAATACATTAAATAAGTGTTTTAAACACTTACTTTTTACTTTGGAGAACTTTGCATTTTTCAGTCGGGTTTCAGCGCCGGTCGGCTAGGCCATGGTTTTGGACTAGCCATCTACCCAGCGATGGTAGATATCACCCATCCACGGATAAGTGATCCCGGGATTCCAGAACCATGCCACCCAGCGATGGGAGATATTACCCATCCATGGGTAAGTGATCTGGGATTCCAGAACCATGCCACCCAGCGATGGGAGATATTACCCATCCATGGGTAAGTGACTTCCCAGCCATGGGAGGATATTACCCATCCATGGAGGGGTAATCGCCGTTGGTTTTTGGCGTCCATGGAGAACCGTTGTAAGGCATTTAAGGCTGATTCTTTCCTTGTTTGAAAGTCAACCTCCCACCCAGCGATGGGAAGCTCTTACCCATCCATGGGTAGGTGACCGTTGTCTTTAAAACTGAAGGAAAAATGGCTTACCAGCGATGGGTAGTTCCATACATCGCTGGGTAGGTTAATTTCCTGCAGATCCACTTTTATTTAATTTCCAAAAATCATGCCATTAAACCCAAATCAACTCCCATCCGTTACACATCATTTTTGGGTATAAATAAGGGTCTTTTGGGTCTACTTTTCACAACTATTCCTCACACTTTTCATAGCTTTACATTGCATCATTCCATAAACTTTTTACATAGCTTTTTAGAGCCATTTCATGAGGAATTGAGTGTGTTCTTGATCTAAATTAGTTTACTCATATTCTACTCTTTAAGAGAGTTTTTGTTCTTGAGTGGTTAAGTGTTGTGAACACTTTAAGGGAGGTTTGATCCCTTGGTTGTACGAAGGAAGGGCATATTCCTTCGGGTTGAAGTCTTGGAGTGTGGTATCTCTGAGCAAGTGTATTGAGGCTCGTGGGACTCGAGTTCTCACGTTGTAACGGTTTGTTAAGTACCCGTAAGCTTAACGGAAGTAGTGTAGCTCGAGAGAGTCTCTCGGGAGGCTCGACTAGCCACACGTTGTGGTGAACAAGGGTAAAATCGGTGTGTTCTTTCCTTACGCTTTTTTATTCCGCTCTTTACTTTATCCCTACGATTTTTATTCCGCGAAAATTTATAAACATTCTCGTGCCTCACTATTCACCCCTCCCCCCCCCCTCTAGTGAAGGGCACTTATTCTAACAAAGGTCAGAAAAGTCAACTTAGTGAGATCACTCAACTCAAAGCTGAGAACGAATCTGAAAAGGTAAAAACTTTCAACAAAGAACTAGAGATACTGAAGTCCAAAGAAGCTGTGGATAAGCTTCTTAATACGACCAAAAAGAAGGGTCGTGAAGGACTTGGGTTTGACCCCTCCAGTTCCAAAAGGAAAGGGAGAACAACATTTATTCCTCCCAAACCTACTGCCAAACCAAATAAGCAGAACGGTAAGGAGAAGGAAAAACCAATAGAAGTTCCCAAGAAGATTGTCCCTCCTAGTAACTATAGGAAGCTGGATAAACCTCATAGAGGAAACAATTTCAGAAGAAAACCTTCTAACCCCCACTACACACGAGGCTATACTCATTATGGGGTTGACAAAAGCTTTCCGATAAATAGTGAGTGGAGAACTATGCCAAGATATAGTTATTCTCCACCCCAAAAATTATTTGTTCCACCTAAGTATGTTTACAACCATCACAGGTCATACTATTCACAACCTAGACAAAACTATAGGTCTCACAAACCTAAGTTTGCTAGGAGGAAACAGGAGTTTGCACCACCTGCACGTAGGAAATTCTATGCCTACAACTATGACTACAACCCCAACAAGTTTAGGGCTGCAAGGAAAATTCCTTACCATTTCAAACTTGATGTGGGGACACACACCATTAACTATTCTGGACCCAAACTGAATTGGGTACCAAAATCTTCCTCCACCTAATGCAGGAAGCCACTAAGTACCCAGGTGTCTGGTACTTAGACAATGGCTGTTCAAGACACATGACGGGTGATGCGAGCCTTTTGAGCAATCTAATTCCCTATGATGGTCCAAGATTTACTTTTGGAGGAAGCAATGATTTCGGCCTTACAAAGGGGCTAGGAAATCTGGTGTACAAGGGATTAACCATCCAGGCTGTATCTTATGTGGAAGGTCTCAACTATAACCTTCTAAGCATAAGTCAGTTCTGTGATAAAGGTTATTCTCTGGAATTCTACAAGGACATGGCATCCCTCAAGAACATCTCCACAAATAAAGTCATTCTCACTGGGAAGAGAATAAGGAACATCTACGAAGTGTTGTGGGATGATGTCAAGGAAGCATGCCTAATCAGCAAAGGTGACACTAACCTTCTATGGCTTTGGCATAAGAGGTTAAGTCATCTCAACTTCAAAACCCTCAACAAGCTGTCAAAAAAAGGGTTAGTGGAAGGTCTTCCAAAGCTGTGTACAAGAAGGAAAGCATCTGTGATGCTTGTCAAAAAGGGAAACAAGTCAAATCCACTTTCAAGGCAAAACCGGCACACTCAACTACAAGGATACAAAGTCTTATTCACATGGACTTATTTGGACCTGTTACTCCAATAAGTCTAAGTGGAAAGAAGTATGTCTTAGTAGTGGTTGATGATTACTCAAGATACACGTGGACAATTTTCCTCAACAGCAAGAAGGAAACTAGAGGGAAACTCACAAACTGCATGAAGCTGATTTAGAATCAAGCAAGTTAGACCATCCAGAAGATCAGATCTGACAAAGGCACAGAATTCCTGAATGAAATTATCATTCATTATTGTGAAGAAAACAGAATTCTTCATCAGACCTCCGCAGCAAGAACACCACAGCAAAATGGTGTAGCTGAAAGAAGGAACAGAACCTTGAAGGAAGCAGTAAGAACCATGCTAGCAAAAGCTTTCTTACCAAAAAGGTTCTGGGCTGAAGCTGTGAACACAGCTTGCTATACTCAAAATAGGAGTATGATCTATAAAAGGCACAACAAAACTCCCTATGAGCTATGGAATGGGAGAAAACCTAATATATCATATTTTCACATTTTTGGGAGCAAGTGTTTTGTGTTAAACAACGGGAAGAACCATATGAACACTTTTGATGAGAAATCAGATGAAGCCATCTTCATTGGATACTCCCTGGTTAGCAAGGCGTTCAGAGTCTTGAACAAAAGAACCATGATCACTGAAGAGTCAATACATGTTATTTTTTATGAAAAACATGTAGTTGACAAACCATCAAAGCATGATCATGAGGTTCTGGATCTCTCAAACAAAGATGAAGAAGTCAATGAAGGAGATAGAATGAAGCCAATGGAGTTCATTCCATTCGAAAGTCTATCATTGAAGACTACACAGAGAAGTCCGGATTCAGACTGCGTTGAGCCTACCGGAAATCATGACCAGCCTTCCGAAATCCCGGATCTCTCACATGGCGACAATTCCGGAAGTGGTGACCCAGTGCCAACCCATCCAGAAACTCCAACAAACTCCATTCTTCAACCAGAAGCAGAACAAGATTAACCAGTCAACCCTAATCAACACAATCTTCATTGTTTAAGGGATCACCCTCCTCAACAAATCATTGGAGACATTCAATCAGGCGTTCTCACCGGAAGCGCTCAACAGAATCTAGAAGTCATGCTTGCATGTTTCTTCTCGCAAGTAGAACCAAAGAGCATTGAAGAGGCTCTAGCTGATTCTGATTGGTTCAATGCAATGCAATGCAAGAAGAACTCAACCAATTCACCAGAAATGATGTCTGGAAACTTGTTCCAAGACCTACTCATCAACATGTCATTGGGACAAAGTGGGTCTCCCGGAACAAGATGGATGCAAACAACATTGTTGTCAGAAACAAAGCTCGGTTGGTAGCCAAAGGTTATTGTCAAGAAGAAGGTATAGATTTTGAGGAAACCTTCGCTCCAGTTGCTAGACTTGTAGCTATTAGGCTATTTCTAGCCTTTGCTGCTCACAAAGACTTCAAAGTCTATCAAATAGATGTAATAGCGCATTTCTCAACGGAAACCTAGAGGAAGAAGTATATGTGGAATAACCTCCAAGATTTGAGTTACACACTAAAGGTGATAAAGTGTATAGACTCAAAAAGGCGTTGTATGGACTCAAACAATAGACAATGGATTCATCAAGGGAGTCATTGACAAGACCTTGTTCAAACTTCAAGATGGTGAAGATCTCCTATTGGTCCAAATCTATGTGGACGACATCATATTTGGCTCAACTAAGGAAGCTCTATGCACCAAGTTTTCCACCCTCATGTAAGGAAAATTTGAGATAAGCATGATGAGGGAACTCAACTACTTCCTTGGTCTTCAAATCAAGCAGAGAAGTGAAGGGACTCTTATCAATCAGGCCAAGTACACAAGGGATCTTCTCAAGAAGTTCAAAGTTGATCAAAAGTCATCCGTTTCTGTCCCCATGAGTACATCCACCAAGCTTGACATGGATGTGGATGGAAAGGATGTTGATCAAACTCTCTACAGAGGAATAGTTGGATCTTTACTCTACCTTACTGCAAGCCGTCCGGATATCTCATATGCAGTAGGTGTTTGTGCCAGATTCCAGTCAAAGCCAAACGAAAGCCATCTAATAGCAGCCAAAAGGATTCTTAGATACCTTAAAGGAACTCAAAACATGGGTTTATGGTGTGCTAAGAGCAGCTCATTTGAGTTAGTGAGATACTTAGATTCTGACTTTGCCGGATGCAAAGTTGACCGGAAGAGTACCTCTGGTACTTGTCAATTCATTGGCGGAAATCTTGTTTCTTGGTTCAGCAAGAAACAAAACTCCATCTCTACATCAACAGCAGAAGCAGAATACATTGCTCCTGGTAGTTGTTGTGCTCAGATCTTGTGGTTAAAGCAACAACTACTGGACTATGGAGTCAAAACAAAGGAAGTGACAATATTTTGTGACAATCAAAGTGCTATAGCCATTTCACAAAATCCAGTGCATCACTCTCGCACTAAGCACATTGATGTCAAGCACCACTTCATCAGAGATCATGTGGAAAAGAAGGATATCAGGATTGAGTACATCTCAACTGAGGAACAATTGGCGGATATCTTCACAAAACCACTAAGTGAAGCCAGGTTTTCCGAATTGCTTCACAAAATTGGTCTAATTCAATTAGACTGAGTGCGGTACACGTGGCAGTCCACATCCACGTCTGATAAAGCAACGCGTAGGCACGTGGCCTTGGGAACACTTAAAAACCCAATCGCCACTAGCCACATAAATCGCCCAAATTAAAACCCAATCGCCACTATATTCTGATCTCAACTGCCCACTCAGCACACTCAATTCTACGTCGTCTTCCTCACAAGAAATCACACAAGAACCCTAATCTCTCTGAATTCTTTCTCAGAAAAAAAAGAAGGTTGGAGGCGAAATGTCCATTTCAAGAAATTGAAAGCTAAATGCTCTTCACCGGTATTCTACGAAGCATATCTGGAGATGATTGAAGCACAAGGACTCTCGGAATTTCTTCATCTGGAGATTCTCTCCAAATATGAAGAAGAGGTTCTGGAATTCTACAGAAATGGAAAAATCAAGATTGTCCAATCCAAGAAGAATCCAGAAAGGTCGATTCAAATTATTAAATCAACTGTTGGAGGCACAGAGGTGAAGATTTCGCAGAAGAAGTTGCGAACTAAACTCCATCTTCCAAATTCTGTAATTGATATTGGGAAGCTCTCACCCAATGCTCTGGATTGGAGCAAAATTGGGAATTTTGGAGAAGCTCCCACTGGCGCAACCAAGAAAGCAGACTTGAAGAATGACTACTGGAGGACATGTAGATGACATAACCCAAGAAAGAGCCTTCATTATCAATGCCTTCATCACAAAAAATAAGGAAAATTGGGTTAAACACTTCTTCAATTCCATTTCCAAGCACATAGGCAAGCCTAGGCAGAAATTCCTCTGTCAAGGATTATACGTTGGGCATATACTGGAGTCTATGGACATTGCCTCTGAAGGCAAGAAATATGAAGCTAGATATTGGTTGTACTACTTGTCAACCAAAGGAGAAAACAGAGCCAGCTCTGTTGCTGAAGAAGAAGGATCTTCAAATGAAGTTTTGGCTGTTACCTTGAAGAAAGCTTCAAAGAAAAAAACAAGTGGTGTCTTCCTCCTCCAGTGCTGAAGAACCACAGAACCTTGAAGCAGTATAATTGGATAAAGAAGAAGTCTCAGCATAAGGAGAACTTCAGAAGAGAAGAATCTCCTCTCCCTCCACATCCGGAGATGTCAATCCAGAGATGTCACAGCAGAACCATCCATAGGACAGTCCTCAAAATCTTGATGATGAAACCCATCAAGAACAGAGCCTTCCAACCCCCTCATCACAAACTCTCTCTGATGAAATGAACAAATTCATCCAAGTTTACAATGTTTGGAGAGCTTGGAAGGTTGGTAACTCTGCAGATCAGTTGCTTGAGTGGGACCAACAACTAAAAAATGAAAAGATCATCAAGAGATGTCTAGGACTGCCAACTAACTGTTACTGTGAGCAGATTTTAGATGTAGAATGGGTCTGGGAGAAATCCAACGAAAACCTGATGTTGGAATAGTTGTCCACCTCTCCACTTTCAGAATTTGAGGTTGATGATGAAGATCCAGCAGTGTACAAACCTATCTTCTCCAATGCAACTGAAAACCAGACTAAAAACATCACTGTAGAAGCACAAGAAGACCTGGAAGCTGAAGCAGAGAATTTCTCAATTTTTTCCAAAAACCTCCCTTGCCTTTGAAACTGTTCTTGTTGGAGCAAACCAGGAGAATGCAGCCACTCCCCAGCATGAAGAACAGATTCAAGCAGCAGCAGAAGAAGAAGAAATTTTGCATTCCCTCAAATTACAAGTTCAAGAGATCCTCACAACCACTTGTGAGATCTCCAATCAGGCTGAACTTGAAATTCCGGAAAAGTCAGCAGAATATCTGGAGAAGTCCACTCCTCCAGATGCAGAAGAAGAAGCTCAAGAAGAACCAGAAGTGGAAGCACAAAGGAGCTTTGAAGAAGCTGCTGAAGATGCTCAGATAGCTAGACTGGAGGCTACTGAAACTCCAGTTGCTATCTTTGAGCAACAAAATGCTGAAGTAGTAAGAGATTCAATTTCTCAGGAGATCTCAGACTACAGGGATGAAGAAGCTGAGGAAGAGTCAGTAAAGACTCTGAAAATCAATAAAGAAGATGCTGAAGAAGGAGAAGAAGCTGAATCTCTCCCTCTGCAATTCTATCACAGTGTACCTTCATCCACTCAGGTAACAAACTTCCACTTTCACAGCTCTTCCATATCTACTATTCCGGATGAGATGCCGGAATCCTAGACCAGGAAGGTTCAAGGGCTAGTTGAAACAGCCCTAGAGTCTTAAAAAGCCTCATTCAGGGAAGAGTTAGATAAGATTGAAGACAGACATAACCAGATTCTGGAGAAAACTGAAGAGAAGTACAGCTCAAACCTCAAAGAGATAAGTCAAACTGTCAACAAGACTCTTGAGATCATCTCTCTTTTGAGGGAGGGGAGGAAAAGGGGAGAAGGTGTGGTTTTTTAAGAGGAAGAGTTGTGGGTGAAAGGGGGCTATTTAGGTTTGTGGGGGTATGGCTGAATAAAGGGAAGAGAGGGAAAAGGAAAAAGGGGAGCAAAACCAAGTTGGTTTTAAGAGATATATTACACTCTTATCCTCACTTGGAATTTGAATCTAGAATTTAATTAAGATATTACACACTCAATCAAATATCTAGAACCTAACACTCACACTTAAGGGAACCAACTTTAAGATATAGAAATTAGGATTTAAATAGAACACCACAAGTGTATTACTATCTCAAAATGAAATGATACAATGCCCAAATGCAATGGCCTAGGGCTGAATTTAAACATACCAAAAGGGGGAGGGAATCTTCCTATCTACATTCATTCAAATTGTGAAAAACAATGTCCACTTATTGTGTCTCCTTAATGGAATGATGGAGGTGTGGTTGTGGGGTTTGGGTTTCGGCCGTAAGTGGGAAAGGGGGGAGTGATTTATGGGTTGGTTTTTAATCAATGTATGCAGCCATAAAAGGGAAACAAGGGTTGGCTATTTGGCTTGGCATGGTGGACATTTTATGGGAGTTTATAGGGGGTGTATTCGGTCAGGTGGGAGGGAAACAAGGGCAGGTGTGTAAGGTGTTTTATTTGGCTTTGTTAGGGGACAAGATATGGGCCACAGCTAGTACATGTTGGGGGGAATTGGATGGGTTGGTTTTGGCTCTATACTTTCAGCCATTTCAAGGGGAAAGAGATGGGTTGTGTTTTGGCCATTTATGTGTGGTTTTTGAGATGATGTGGGGTGTCTTTGGGTATGTGGGTTCGGCCAAAGGGAGAGGGAAAGGTTGGATTTTGGATTTTTGGGTTTTGTTTTGGGGGTGTGGGTTCGGCCATCAAGGGGAGGGGTGGTTTAAGCGAATCAAGGTTGGGTTGTATGGTTTTGTGATGATAAATTCATTCCAAAAAGGATCATAACATTTGGACATTATTCCGTTGATTTGTTTCATCGCTTGAGGATCGTGCGTAGTAACCGGGGATATACAATTCTCCCCTTCTTAAGAAGAGTTTGACCTCAAACTCGGAATTTCTTCAGGGTTGAAGTACGGACTGAGATCCTTTACGTTGAATGTAGTTGAAACCCCGTAATCCCCTGGCAGGTTAATCTTGTATGCGTTGTCACTTAACTTCTCCAAAATTTCAAAAGGGTCCTTCCTTTGTTGACCCATGCGCTCACTTTCTCGTTCATCTCTTCAATCTTTTCTCGGACTCGGGAATGGAGGTCTTTTATTGCTTGAGACCTTTTCTCGGCTTCCCAACTATATTGATCCTTCTTCATGATGGGATCAAGATCAAGCGGGGTGAGGGGATTTGACCCATACACGATTGCAAATGGTGAGAATCCGGTCGTCTTGCTCGGTGTCCTGTTGTAAGCAAACTCAGCATGAGGCAGAAGTTCTTCCCATTGTTTAATGTTCTTCTTGATTAGAACCCGAAGAAGGGTCCCAAGTGTGTGGTTGGTAACTTTGGTTTGGCCATCCGTTTGGGGGTGGCTCGAGGTGCTGAATTTGAGCTTCGTCTCTAGCTTCCTCCACGAAGTCATCCAAAAATGGCTAAGAAACTTGGGGTCTCGATCCGACACCATGCTGCGTGGTACACCATGTAACTTGACCACGTCGCGGAAATAAAGATCGGCTATTTGTGAGGCATCGTAAGTGGTTACACATGGAATGAAGTGGGCCATCTTCGAGAATCTGTCCACGACCACACCTTTGAATCCTTGTTGTTGAATTGGTTGAATTGCATAACTTGATTTCATAAGTAGGTTGGTATGTGGAATTTGGTTTTTGTTGAATCTATTTTAGCTCCATAAGGTAGCTAAATGAACACCAGATTCATACGTGATTCTTTGTTTTGATTTGTGTTTGTTGATTTTAAGAATTTTGGACTTCTTAGCCCCATAAGTTGATTCATTTTTCTTAGAATTCGTTATTAAGTGATTGTTATGTTTCCGTATGTTTGTTTGTTGTTTTCATTAATTTGAAGTTGTTTAAGCTCAAAAACAATTCTTAATTTATTGAAAATATGTTGTGTTCATCTATGTGAATAGAAAAAACGTCATTGGTTTGAGAAGTTCATGAAAATCTGTGAAATGTGCTCATCATTAGGAGAAAATGTTTATTAAAATACATAAGGTATTGGCGGTTTGTGAATAGATTATGTATGAGAGTTGAATGCATAATAGATTCTCTCTTTTATAAACTTTTTCTATAATGGAAGTATGTTTTCATGCTTGAATAGAGACTTGGTGTTCAAAAGTATATTTCAAAACGGGCTTTTGAATTGCTTGACTCCGGGCCGTGTGGAGAGTTGACAATCCTCCATATCGTGGTTAAGGAAACGAATCGACTCAGCCTTTGATTGATTTTTCCATTCTTAAGTGCGTAAGTTACGTAATATATTGTCTACGTGCCTATTATACGTGTAATGTTTGATTTGTGTTTGTTCTCTTTTTCATTGTGTTTCGGGTTCTTGGTGGTGTTTCTTGGGTTACTTTTGTTGGGGGAGTTGATTATCTTTTGAGCTTGTTTCCCCCATTTTATCAAAAAAACCAAAAAAATAAGAAAAATAAAAAACCAAAAAAATATTTAATTTTCATCCAATCCCCCCCCCCTTGTAATCTAAGTTATAGTATAAGTGTTTATTTATAAGTTATAAATATAAGTTTTTTTATACTTTATTCTTTTAGTATATTTAAGTATGTGTTTTATGTTTATAAGTTAAATTATAAGTTCTTTGTTTATATAAGTTATTTATAAGTTTTATATTAACTTAGTTATAAGTTTTATTATAAGTTTTCTTTAAGTGTTATCATATGTGTAGTAGTTAGTTTTATTTTATTTAGTGACAATTTGTGTCCATGCTTAATTGATTTCAAAAGTACAATCTTTCTCAGTGGGATCGAGCCTCACTTGCCCTGGCTATATTTTTTAATTTGATTATATCTTGGGGGTTAGTTAAGGTTATTTATAAATTTTTAATTTGTTTTGGACCGCACAACAAGTCCTCAACAAATTTTGGCACCGTTGCCGGGGAAAGTTTTGTATAAACTTGTTTTTAAAATGTATTCAGTTCTTTTTTCTTTGTTGAACAAATAACCTCTTTTCTTGTGACTGATGTGCATGTTAAATGTTTAGAATTGAGGTTATTTGTGTTTGAGACTAAAATTAGCATTGTTTTATCTTGGTTGCTGAAATTTATGCTCCATTTGCTGTTTTTATGAAATTTGAGTACTATTTTTCATCAAAACTACATTTTGAGATCTTTTTCTTCATCTATACTTGCTGATTTTTGTTTCTTGAGCTATATATGCTGTTTTTTATGCACTTTTAGGCTTTCTTGTAATTCTGTTTTTGTCCCTTAGAGTGCTCATTTACTTCAAATATGAACTATAATTGATATATCTTGCTTGGGGACAATATTTTGAATCATGCCATGATGTTTTTATGCTGATTTTTATGTTTTAGGGGCTGATTTTTTGATAAAAATTGATCTAAAGTGCTGTTTTTTAAAAAACTGCATTCTTTCCTTATGTACAAACTGATTTTTTATGTTCCAAAGATGCCTATATGCTGAAATTTGAAGTTTTATTGTTAAATACATGCATAGGAACTGACTAAAGGGGTATTTAGCATGTTTTTGCAATCTAAGTTTGACCCTTATATGCTGAGTTTTGATGTCAAAGTGCAAAACACAGAAAACTTTGTTTCTCAATACTGATTTGAAGCTTACAATCTGAACTTAGGATCTTAATTTTGGCTTACATTAATTTTACTCTTTTAGTGTTTTAAAGAAACACATTTACTTTACTACTTGATGGTTTATTTGAACATGTGTTGGCAAGTAGTAAGTTAGGTCTAGCCAAAGACGTTAAATTGGGCGGCTTATGGGAGGCAACCCACCTACTTTTTTAAACATTTATTTCATTTTTTTTCTAAAAATTCTTTTAACTACTAACTTTAAATTATTATTGTTGGACTTCTTTTTTCCTCTCTATTAGTTGTTCATTTTTTTTCCTTTCCTTCTATTGTTTTAACATGACCCACTTACTTTTCTAGTATTTTTTTTAAGTTCCTTATGCTTAGTTCTAACTTTAACTTCTTTAACTTGTTGTTTTTTTCCCTTGTGGTCGTTAATTAGATTTTATTTTTCTATCTTTTAATAACCAACTTACTTTTCTTACTTTTTTCCCATATTGATGTAATATTACTTGTTGTAATTATAGAAATTTTTTCTCTTTCGTTTAGTTTTTGAAAAACACAAAAAAAAATATTGAAAAGAAAAAAAGGTAGGTTGCTTGTTATTTGAGTTTAAATGTTTTTTACTTCATTTGTGCTTCTAACCATCTGCTTTGAGAACTTTTTGCAAGATTTGTTGAATTTTAGGGGGAAGCAAATCTGTTTGGAGTAAAATCTGCACAAAAATGGTGCAAAAATCTGTTTTGAAAACGGGGCTCGAAGTGCCTAGGTGTTGGTATGCTATTATTTTTCACTTTTCTTAAGCCTTGCGTGTTTAGATTTGATTTTATTTGGGGTGAAAACCTGCAAAATTCTGGTGGTGTTTAGATTTGTCTACGTGCATATTATACGTGTAATGTTCGATTTGTGTTTGTTCTCTTTTTCATTGTGTTTCGGGTTCTTGGTGGTGTTTCTTGGGTTACTTTTGTTGGAGGAGTTGATTATCTTTTGAGCTTGTTTCCCCCATTTTATCAAAAAAAACCAAAACAAATAAGAAAAATAAAAAACCAAAAAAATATTTACTTTTCATCCAATCCCCCCCCCCCCTTGTGTTCTAAGTTATAGTATAAGTGTTTATTTATAAGTTATAAATATAAGTTTTTTTATATTTTATTCTTTTAGTATATCTTAAGTATGTGTTTTATGTTTATAAGTTATATTATAAGTTCTTTGTTATATAAGTTATTTATAAGTTTTATATTAATTTAGTTATAAGTTTTATTATAAGTTTTCTTTAAGTGTTATCATATGTGTAGTAGTTAGTTTTGTTTTATTTAGTGACAATTTGTGTCCATGCTTAATTGATTTCAAAAGTACAATCTTTCTCAGTGGGATCGACCCTTACTTGCCCTAGCTATAGTTTTTAATTTGATTATATCTTGGGGGTTAGTTAAGGTTATTTATAAATTTTTAATTTGTTTTGGACCGCACAACAAGTCCTCAACAAGCCTATCATCCCCAAACTCAAGGGCAAGTAGAGAATACAAATAGGGATCTTAAAGCTATATTAGAAAAAACTGTAGCGCATTCTAGGAAAGATTGACCTGATAAGTTAGATGATGCGCTATGGGCTTTTCAGACAGCCTATAAGACCCCAATAGGAACTACTCCCTTTCACTTGGTATTTGGTAAGTCTTGCCATTACCTGTACAGCTTAAGCATACAGCGCTGTGGCCCTTACTATTGGTCTTATGGGGGACCACCGATCACCCTTAGGGATTCGCTACTGTGCTTGTCACGGTATCGGGTATTGACAGCCCAACTAGACGAGGTACATGAGTCGTGTATCTTGCGAAGCCCCTCCTATCCATCCACCGCTCAATAGTGGTGTTAGGGGTGAACCGGGGGGGTCTTATCAAGTTGATGTTTTTAGGCTTTGAAATGGGAAGAAAATGGAGGTGTATATGTTGGGAATGGGCTGGACGAAATATGGAGATGATGAGGAGTTCTTTTTGGGGTTTTTTTTTTGATAATTTGAAGAAGAGTGGAATATCAAGAGAGAAGGATGGGTTTAGGAAGAATGGGATAAATTCCAAATCAGTGATAAGAGATAAACACACTCTTATCTTAATTTGGAGCCAAATTAATACTATAGGATAAATTCACCTCTAGATTAACTTGGGGTTGAACTCTAGTATTTCATCAAGATATTACACACTCAATCAAATAACTAGAACCTAAAACTCACACTCAAGAGAACCACTCTTAAGATATAGAATTAGGAATTTGGCTAAAATAGCATCACACTATTTTAAGAGAATACTCAAAAGAGTAAACAAAGTTTTCATTTAATTCATATGCTGGTTTACAAGGCCTATGGCCGAAATTATATATACATAATAAGGGAGAAAGAATACAATCAAGGCAGCTTCTTAATCCTTTCCAAAATCAACATCCAAATGAGTTAAATTCATGACTAAGATGATGGAT